TACGCACTGAGAAATACAACAGTTATATGCCAATCCAGCAACTGACACACATGTTGGAATTAAGAGCTGGTATAAAAACCCCATGTGTTTGTTTTTAGTAGTGCTTTTACAGCCACCATCATTAAACAGTCAAGAAAAAAGGGGTATGAAACAGAAGAACTAACAAGCTTGTGACAATTTATGGATATAAAATTATTCTTGGAAGTTACCACAAAAATTATGCATAAGACTACTTCTTCTTGGAAGCATTTTATATCACTGAATTTGAATTTGACTAATGTTTTAACTAAAACTTGTACAATAATATTAACTTAGAATAGTCTAAAAAAAAAGCAATCCTATCCAGACATAGAAAACTTCTTCCAATACAGTGTGATTTGGCACTCCGTGGAGGTTGAGCAATCTGTAATTAAGCTAAATGAGACTTGTATGGGAATACCAAGAACATTAAGACTGTCTTACAGCATGGGAATTATTTACCAGAGAACATTATCCTTTTACTGCTTTTTTATCATTAAGATGTAAAATTTAATTAAAACAAAGTGACAGACTTAGCTTGTGTTACACCCACTTGTTAGCTGTATAGCTCACCTTTGAACCATTCATTAGGATGCAACTAAATTTAGTCATTAGTACACAACCTTTTTTTTTTTCTAATCTTTTTTTTTTTTTTATCACTTCTCTGCTTAATTTCTTCAACCACTCCGGTCCACAACTGAAGCTTTAAAGACAGCAAGGACAGCAAGTCATACAGTAGCATTTTGAAGCAGGGAGAGAAAGAAAAGAGAAAGAGAAAGAGAAAGAAAGAAAACCAGTGCTGATCTGGACCTAGTGCATGAAGAAGAAATGCTCGCCTATGAATATTTCACAGAAATAGTTTCACAGCTTCAGCTTTGAAAAACATTCTCCAAATTCTCATGTTTTCCTATGAATCTCCTTCCAATAATACCTAGTCACAATTTCAAAAACATGTTCTCTCTCCACTATGAAAGACCTGTAGTTAAGAGTTGCTCCACTGGTATTCTTGGGAACCTTCCCACTGCTTCCCTGGTTATCCCATCATTTTTCCTCAGTTAACCTATATCTCACTTACATAGGATAAAACATACCCCTCACTGCATATTTTACACTTCATATCCCACCTCCTTCTCAAGTGTATGACTCCTGAAAATTAGCTAGAAATTTCTGCCTCTCATTCTTCCTGTGAAGAACATGAGTTTAAGCTGTAGAAGAAGCTGGGAAGCAAACACTCAGTCTCCAACTTTGCAGATGAGGAAACATGCCTGTTCCCAACAAAGACAGAGCTTGGATACAGTTCAAACTCCAGAAGCTTAAAACACAAGTATCTATCTGCCTGTTCGTGACAGACAATTTGTGGTTATCACTTACTACAGCCCTCAAAGTATGAGGAGAGGGGGGAAGAGAGAGATCCAGCCCTGCTGACAGTACATGAGCCAGCAATGTGCGCTCATAGCCCAGAAGGCCAACCATATCCTGCATCCAAAGAAGTGTGGCCAGCAGGTTGAGGGAGGTGATTCTCCCCTCTACTCTGTTATGGTGAGACCCCACTCGGGAGTACTGCATCCAGCTCTGGAGCCCTCAGCACAGCAAAGACATGGACCTGCTGCAGAGGGTCCAGAGGGGGGCCACAAAAATGATCAGAGGGATGGAGCACCTCTCCTATGAGGACAGGCTGAGAGAGTTGGGGTTGTTCAGCCTGGAGAAGAGAAGGCTCCAGGGAGACCTTACTGCGGCCTTCCAGTACTTAAAGGGGGCTTAGAAGAAAGATGGGGACGGACTTTTTCGCAGGGCCTGTAGCCATAGGACAAGGGGTAATGGTTTTAAACTAAAAGAGGGCAGATTTTGACTAGATCCAAGGAAGAAATTTTTCACAGTGAGGGTGGTGAAACACTGGCACAGGTTGCCCAGGGAGGTGGTAGATGCCCCATCCCTGGAAACATTCAAGGTCAGGTTGCTCAGGGCTCTGAGCAACATGATCTAGTTGAAGATCTCCCTGCTCAATGCAGGGGGGTTGGACTAGGTGATCTTAAAAGGTCCCTTGTAACCCAAAGATTCTATGATTCTATGACAGTCCTATCAATGGTAGGGCTATTTTAACAAATTCCAAAAGTACAGATTTTTGTCAAGTCGTCAATTATGCAAAAGGAAGTCAAACATGTACCCTTCCCTGTGTCATTACAGTCCTTCCTACGTAATTCCAGTCCCTAAACCCAACACAAAAGAAACAGTAAGATGGCTAAAATCGCAGCATGCTATTTTATGTATATTTAAAATACTTTAAATAGCATGTTTCCACTCTCATACTAATAATTATTATATTAAAGTACCTTCATCCACAAGAGAAAAAAACAAAGTCACAAAGAAATGCAGCAGTTCTTGCTTCCCTTATCTCCTATGTTTTTCAAGTAAGCAACTTTGAGGAAAAGAAAAAAAGAAGTTATAGAAATGCATTTTTCTCTAGTTTCTGGAATCTCTCTGAAGCATCACTCCCTTGTAAGCAATATCTGATCTCCAAAGTCTAATCATTGTAGCATTGAAGCTTTTGATCACTTGCTTTTATAGAGAAAAGCAGAAAGAAGCTTTAAAACTTACTTGTATGTGAAATCCAAGTTAGCACTATATGAAATTCTAAAGTCAGGGAATATCTGCCTCTCAGATAATACTCTAACCCTGAGAAGATAGGAAGGGAAAAAGAAAATATTATATTGAAAAACAAGAGATAAATCTTGTCAAAAGAAAAGTTCCTAGGAATAGGTTAAGCATGACATTGCTTCAAGTACAGTATACTTCTGGAGTAAAAAGCAGAGTCATCAGTGGTCTACCTGAAGCACATAAATTCCCAATATTTTATTTTCTTGACTGTTAAGCCTAAAAATACAGAATATATAAGTTCTGTATTTGCTCTGTGGCTTACAAAACTGGAGAATTAAGAGTGCTTCACTAGCGAACATGTGAAGTGAAAAGTGACCTAGTCTGATTTTAGACGTAGACTTGTAATACAGAACTAAGAAATGTATTTTAGTTTTCTTCAGCATTTCTGGTTTATACTAAATGGATCCAAGCTAATTAAAATGTATGGCTAGCTGTAGCAACCAAAATGCATCTATACTCCAACATCCTATGCCAAATTTCTGTAACTGATCAGTCTTCCAAGAAAAATGCAAGAACACACCACACCCCCACACACACTGTTTGAAATAATCTTTCATTTCATTCCTCAGTTATGTACGCCCACCACCCCTCAGTCAAGGAAATCCTTTGATTTTCTTGCATGATGAGCCTAGGAACCAGAAGAAAGCCACAGCAGTGGTAAGTCACTAAGCAAGAATACAAGAACAAGTCTAGAGAGATGCTCCCCATCCTAAGCCCTTCCTGTTTCTAAAAGTTGCACGTTACATCTTCCGGGACAGACACTATCTTTGTATTTAATAGCCTTCTGCTCACTTAGTCAAGACTTTCTAATAACATTTGCCTTTCAAATACACACTTTTGGCATCCAAAGCATTCCAGTTTTCATTTATCTCCTTTTATTTTGAACCTATTTTCAACTCATTTTCTTTGAGGCTCCTCCATGCAGATATTAACAGCTAGCAAATATTTCCTATTCAGCCACTTCAGAGCTCTTATTAACACTACACTTCCCTCATTTGCCCCTTCCCTTCCCATCATCAGAAAAAAAAGACTCCAGTGTAGTCAAGTTTCACCATACAGAGTTCATTCTGTACAAAAGAATAACCGAAGTGATGAAAAGTACTTTCCCCAACTCTAAAGTTTCCATTTCAGAAATGGAAGGGGACTGATAAAAATATTCAAGGTAAGTACTTGACAGAGTTAGAGCAGTCTAAGTATTTTCCCTTTTGTTCTCTGCTCATGATTCCTGAAATTCTATTTGCTTTTTTTGGACCACTACTAATTGATGGACATTTTCGCTGTTAGAACACCAAGATTTTTCTCTTGACATACTAATTAATTCAGAGCCTATTGAAATAAGTAAATACTACTCCTGCAGGAGCTCAACATGGAGAAGTATGTAAAAATCTGAACATAAATTATTACTAAGTGCAACAGCTTTTAACCTATGGAGGAAAAATGATCCAAACTTACACAAAGATCAGCTTCAATTCAATTACTGCCACTCTGGAATAAGGTTTTGATACCAAAATAGACACCTCTACGGAATTATTTCTCATGAGCAGGCAAAAGGAGAAAAACTAATCCAGTATTAAGAAACATTAGCAAACAAATAAAGAGCAGAAGTGTAAGAATCAATTTTCCATTGCACAAGTCTCTGATCTCATACACACTGAACAACAGTTGTATTACCTTGTCACAATACATTGTGGATACTAAACATTTAAATGGGTTCAAGAAGTGACTAGAAAACTTACTGAGCAACAATTCATTGATGGCAATTGAGTATAAAAAGTTACCACCTGTATCTAGCACAGGAAATCCAAGCTGCAAATCAACAGCAACTGTAAGAGTATTCTGACCAAGTAGAGTTGCATCTTTCTGAACAGTACTGGGTCATAGCTATATAAAAACCATATTTAGTTATCATACATAAGAATTGAAAGAGTACCAAAACTTTGAAATTATTCTCCTTCAAAAAGGGGTTTAATTATACCGTAATTGCTTGCTGACAAGTCCACATCACTCAAAAAAAAGTTGATTTTATTTTACGTCACACATTTCAGTGAATGTCAGTCTCCTCAAAATACCATCCATCTTTTCAAAGTCCAACTCTCAAAGATACTCAGCATCATGACGTCGACTGCAGTTAACATAAGATTGATCAAGATTGCCCAATTGACATATGTCTGTTCCAGTTAGTGAGGACTGAGACCTTGCTGCTTTTATTCATAAATCTCTAAACATCAACCAACTAACTACAGCAGCCAGTCTATCATCCAGATAATGCTACTTTTCACCTACAGCACTTAAAACATAATAGTTACTTCTCCCTTTTAATTATTTACCTTAGAATTACCTTCCTTGTGATGTTTGGCACAGGATCGAAGCTGAGTTATCCAATATTGTTTCTCCTTTGCATCAGCAGCTAGAACAGAAACACGAAAATGCAGTCACACATAAACCGATATTGTTTTTTGCATAAGAGAAGGTTATGGGGGAGACATCTGTTTATTCATTAGGATGCACTACAAATTCTAATTTATGCTACTTAAATAAGTATGTGTAACTTCTTCAGTACAACACATCTAAACCTCAACTTAAGATGCTGTGGCCAGTTGGAAGAGATAAGCTTATGAGTTTTCTTCATGGATAGCTCCTCCAAGTGTTATTAAAAGCAGAATAACCTCAACATGCCTTTTTTTTTTTTTTTATTTTTAATCCACTTTTGTTTTACTTGTCTCTCTTTGTGAAGAACAAGGGTCACAACATAGCATTTAAATCAGTAAAACCTCTACACTCAGCCTGTCAATCAGCTACCAGAAAAGCTTGTACTTAAGTACTTCTGTTTTAAAGTACTTCAGCTAAATCTCTCTCTAAACCTATGTGTCATTCGTAGGCAACTTAAAGACACAAGAATGAAAATCACCATTTCCCCCCTACATCTTTAAAAGGCAGTTTTGAAATTCATTGAAAAGATTGTCTGCAGTCTACATCAGGTGATTCCTGTGTAATATTAATAAGTATATTTCGCAGACAGGTTTGGTTTGGTTTTGGTTTGGGGGGCGGTGGGTGGTTTTTTTTTTTTTAAATAAGCCACTACTACAGTAATCCTAATTAAGAATACCAATACAGAGTGGATAATTTCAGTAAGTATTTTCTCTTACTTCCTCTGCTATTAAGTATCTCAATGGTTATTGACTCGGCACAAAAATTATTTACTGATTTGAATAAAATTCATAGATCTCATTAAATTAAAAGCAGCATATTGTAAGTATTTGATAATTTCAAGTGACTGGCAAACCATAATAATGAAACTACAAGTGTTCACTATTTTTAGCTGTGCATGTTCCTAAACATTTTAACAGAAACTCTCCCTGGTTGTTCTTGTGTTTCAGTTCCACACATAAAACAGCAACACACTGTAGCACGAGGCAGTCCTAGATACTCTGTCCTGCTAGCCAGCTGATAAACTGTGGTCAGAATAAAACTAACACAATTTTAAACTTTTGTTACACTACTTTTCTTAATATCAGTTTCTTTTCTGATAAACTAGTTTGATAGGAAAGTATCCAGATTAAATCAACCATAGTGAAAATACCTTAGAATCAGAATACTGCCTTTTTTTTAATTATTCACAATTAACTCTTCCATGCCCTATATTGTCTTTCTTACATTTGGGAGCAAGGGAAGGAAAATTTTTACGTTAAAGGTGCATTCAATTATTCCAAGACTAACAAGAACAGAGTATCTTAACAGTCTTCCACTGGTGTTTTTCCCTTCTCTGACCCATCAGCAGATTAAGTACTGCACATTACCTGCAGGATGGTGCCAGGGAAGAACAATAGTAGAAATTAAATGCTATGCTGTGGACACCAATGAAAGCAGCTTTTTCTTCCTTCAGAAACAAACAATATATACTGCACAATCAAAATGGCATAACAGCTTACAGAAGGCATCTTGAGTTATCTTCCAGCCCTGGAAGTCTATATATTGCAAATCCACACGTATTTAACTCCAGATTACTGTTCACTGTGTTTTATAATACAGCATGCAACAATACAGCTGTATAACCACTACTTTCTGACAGTATAGGGAAGTAAAAGAGAAATGAGAGAAGGCAGAAGAGGCGCAGACGAAGGAATGGGAGAGAAGAACAACTCAGCTGGCACTTCAAGCAGCACTGTACCTCTCAACTTATACATCTCTCCACTAGCAGAGTAGACCACCAACATGTGTGGCACTTCATCACTGGGTGATATTATAGCTCCAGCTAAAGACAAGGTTCCTCGTGGCTTCTGGTTTTTACTTTGTTCATTCACAAAATACTGCAGAATTCCCGTCTCAAAATCCAGCACAAAGTACCTGTTCAAAGAAATTGCAATCATATAGTATTTCTGTTTAAGAGTTTTTCACACATTTACTCAAAGAAGAGCACAAATCGATCTTAAATCAAGATCATAAACAAATGAGGTTAAAGTAATTCTTGTAATAACCTAATTTTGTAAGCTACTGTTATTTTGATCATTAGGTTTGGTTTTTTAAGGGCATGTGTGAGCTATTATTTTACTGTTTCTTTCAGATTAATGGTGAGGTTCACATACAAGACATAAAAGCAAGGAACGGAGTTTTTAATTGAAGACGTTCCACTAAAGAAGTATGAGACTGCTTCTTTTGGGGTTTTTGGCCCTTCTCCTTTGTTTTCCATTTACAACCTTGAAAGACATGCTAATTCCCCACAACTAGTCTTTTGAAAAAGTAACACTGTTTTTGCAGAGGGATGAGCACAATTAAAGATATTTTTTTAATCTTTGTGGTAGTATTTCTCATACAGATGTTGAGTGTAATTCTGAAAACTGACCAAGGGAATTGAACATTCAGTTCCAAATAAATACGAGGTAGGAAGTATGAACACTCACATATAAGAAAACGATTAGGAGGAGAGAGAAGTAAAGCCTAAATTCTGTTTGGTAATTCTGTTAACAAATTCTAACACGTAAAAAACATTTCTACTGCTGATCGTATATTTAGGATCAAGTAATACTCAGCCAGTGAAAATCCAGTAACCCCAAAGATTTAAAAAAAAAAAAATTTTTTTTTGAGGAAAAAAGAGGAAAGGAAGCATAGATGGGTGGAGAGGAAAGGAAGAGTGAGAATAGTAATTCTGCCTGAAAGCTTTTCCAGGACTTTATTTTCATGTGTAAGTGACACAACTGACGGACTAAAGAAATAAATCATAAATGGAAGGTACTGAGTTTGACAATGATCTAATTCCTAAGTTGGTTATTCTTGGATTGTTTTTGCAGGATTCTGAGGAAAGCCTCAGGAAGTTGAAACAGAGAAGGAAAATGTTATATATAATAAAACCAGAATACATTTAGAAATAAATGGATTCAAAATAAATCAAAGTTCTTATTCATATTTAAACTTACTAAGCCAAATAACATTTCTTGTTTGTAGGATGCTAAAATTTTGCTTCAGTATAGCTCTATGGGAATGGGAAGGGGCAATGGGCTCTTCTCACTAAAGACAACACAACCTTCCCTACCCTACTTCAGTCTTCATTCACTCAGTTTTGATGAACTCAAGCTATTCCACAGTAAACCAACTGCTAGGACTGCGAGATCATACAAACAAAAATAAATTCATTGCCTTGTCCAAGTGCACTAAATGAAAGTGAAGATGTTTCGAACTTAGTGCGTCAGTCTCAACTGAATTCCTCCCTGCAATAAACCTATCTTTCACAAGAGCACAGATCTTAAATCCCATATTCCTGGGGAAATCATGTATGCTATTACACAAAACAACTATTTAACACTAACTCCTTGCCAAGAGAAGACAGCAACTTCTTGGCTCACATGAAGGACAGTTTGCTATGACTCGCAACAGGCTAGAGTGAAGATGACACAAATGCAGGTTACCCTTTTAGTTTCCACCGAAAAAAACCAGCCTTAACAATATGGCTAATACCATTAACATGGGCATTTGGAATGCACATTATTTCCTATTGTTCCTCTAGACAGGATTAGTATAGGTCATATGTATTCATGTACAGTATTTCAGACTTCTGTAGCTTTGTATAGTCCAAATTTGCTCAAGTTACTACTCTGTTCTGAAAGCAGCATTTTGTCTTAGCCTTTCCCATCATAGAGTATTTCCAGGATTGTCTTCACAGCCTGTTGAGGTTCTTGCTAGACCAGCAAAGCACTCCCAGAATGACTGTAAGCTCCATAAAGACGTGCTCTGCATTGCCATAAAGCTACCCCAGGGACAGAAACCAGCCATTTGAGTACAGAATACACCTTTACCAGCATAATGACACCAGAGAGCAGCAACTTCTGCAAATCCACATATGCAGAGACAGCATCCTTCCACATCCTTGTCATCACAGCTACAGCAGTGGTGTTAACTTGACCTTCTAACCAACCATGATCTATTTCACATATAGTGGCAGAAAAACCGCATATTATCATTGGCCTTGTACCTTCAGTTTTCAGTACTTGTGATGATGTCTTAGCTGCCTATAAAGGCATGCAACATGTTTTCAGTACAACTCAAGCAGTAATCTTAAGAAAGAAAAAAAAAGTTCCAAAGTCACAGGAAAGCTATTTTGTTGACAGAAACAACTTTTGTTGGGCAGTTAGGACTTAGTTTCTGTAGCTAGTTCTCTTTTCTCTTGCCACATTTGAAGTTGGCAAACGTAGAAACTGTTTCATCTGGGACAACAAAGAAGGCTGCATACTTGAAGTGGGTAATGTGAAGGCTTGCAAGAACTTTTCAGAGTCATCCTGACCATGACACCGTTGATATCACACAGAACCATGTATGCTTTTCAAGAGTTGAGGTTTGATACACAACACCCCTCTTCAGCTCTCACACTGCAGTATCATAGGAAAAGATGGACAGGAGTAAACTGCATTATAGTCTCACAAGAGAAGCAGGAGGATAATGCACTTTGAAAACTGCTAAAAGGATAGGAAAAGCCGGGAGAAGGAATAAGGAATTAAATGTCAAATCAAGCAGTGCAAGACTTCGGGTGGGGTGGAACAGAAAGCGATAGAAGAAACAGAAGCAGCTTTCAAAAACACTTTCTTGCATCACAGACCAAGTGATGACCAGGTTCAGACTGTCACAAAAACACAGAAGAAATGGAGACCGGATTCATTAGCTGAGGATGGAAAAGCATTTTATATATATATATATATATATATATAAAGCAGAACAGAAGTAAGAGAATGGTACGTGTCCCATTTTAGATGCCCCATGTAACTGTATCAAAAGGACAGGGGTACCTTTTAACTGTTAATTTTTAACAAAAGTCATTTGTTCTGCACACGAGGGAAATAACAGCACTAACCTCTCTACAGCTGATTAATCTTGGACCCTACCCTGTATGTCTCTACTGGTCTTGCTCAGAGAGTACACATTTACCCATGATGTCGTATTTCTGTAATTAATTTACAGAATATTGATGAAAACTAAAATACTCTTTAGAGAACAGTTCAGGTAGGAGGTAGCAGAGTCAAGTTATGTCATACTAGACATACAATTAGTGCTATACAGAAATTATTAAATAACTGTTACTGACAGACACTTCCAAAAGACAGCTAAATTTTTCTCTTATTCCAAAATTGGACAAAATCATCATTTTGTTTGTTGGGGAGGGTTTAATTTTAAATTAATATTCATTAAAAGAGACCATCTACTGGTAAGCTAAAAAAACGACCACTTTTAACACATTTTAAGCAGTTTTAACTGCTTAAGCACTGTTCAAAGTAGACATGTAAAATTACAGGCAAGAAAAAGAAGGCCATTTCAAAAAAGAAAAGCCTTGGCCAGTGGATTTTTCACTTTAACTTAACTCAAACTCAAATCTGTTCACAGAACACAGACTTCCTGCTCCTCTGGCTCAGCCTCCCTCAAGCTCCTGGGATTCACTGGGATACTCCCCTCTGCCATTCCAACCAAATGCATTACCAACTGATATCAATTACAAGACAAAACATTCAGCCACACTCAGTGAACTCGAGTTTTACTGCTGCTCTATCAAGTTAAAAAAAAAAAAAAAAAAAGAAAACCAGCTCACACAACCAAAAGTCTGACACCACCAGACATTTTTTAAGTTACTCATGAGTTTGTCAATATGGCACGACGACACTTTATTTCTGTTTTACTTGCCATATTTCAAAATCAGCACGCTCTCAGAATAAATCCTAAGTCTTATAAATTCTGTAACTATCTGTTTTAATTAAACTCTTATCATATTTCATACCTATCCCCTTTATCCGTTCACCCTGACAGCCATTAAAAAAAAAGACAAGAAAAATCATCTTTCCTTCTCCTATCAAGACCAAAGGATTCGTGGAAAAAAGTTCCTCTGAGTCTATTAGAACAGAACCTATTAAGTTACATAAACCCTACAAGCACGTTAAACTCAGAAACTTTTGAAAAAAAAGTCAGAACAAGTATGACCTATTAGAAAGCTTCACTATGTTGCTTTCTGAATTCTTGGAGGGGAAGAGAGAGACTCAAACATTGTACCAATAAACTATTTCAACTGGATTTTACATTCACTGATATAAGCATTTATTATAACAATTATTATAATATGTTAATATTATAATATTGTAATAAAATATTATTCATTCCCCATTCAAGAAGAATTTAAGGAAAAGCAACTACTATGGTTTAAAAAGAGAGAAAATGCTGGTGGTATAGTAGATTAAAATGGTCTACCATCAGAGCTTGTCAACAGAGAACAGCTGCTATACAGGTCTTCCATGAGAAAATTTGACATTTCCAACACTACCCTAGTTTGAGGCAAAAAAAAAAAAAAAAAAAAAAAAAAAAAAAAAAAAAAAAAAAAAAAAAAAAAAAAAACAAAAACAAAAACAAAAACAAAACCAAAACCAAAAAAAACACACAAAAGTATCAGAAGCACGTGATACGGACATTTCCCATGTAATTTACTCACCTCACTGGATTTAAGAGTTTTCGTTTTCCCATTTCCAGTCAAATTAAGCATTTCTATATTCTCCAGTGGAAATGCATAGTTTAAAAAAAAAATCAAAACATTTTTAGGCATTTCAACATTCAATTGCACATCCATAACATGGTGCATTGCTCACTGAAGCTGTTACTTGGATGCAAGTCTGCAGTGCACTCTGCAGTGCACCCAAAGGTATGTTCCTAGCAGAAAAAACATCTCTTAAAATAATTCCCTTCTTTCTCCCCTTATTCTGAACACATCTCAGAAATCAACCATCTGAAAATAAGTTTTCACTACTTGTAATCCCAAGAAGTTTTCAAGGTAGGACTGCCAAATCTTTCCACTGTGTAATGTATTCCTAATGATTTGAATTCTCCCCACACCCTTCTTCCCCAGTTAAGTCAGTTTTTTGGACCAGATTTTGTACAACTTCCAGTTTGAAATCATAACGTGATGGAGGTTTTGCTATATAAGGGCTTTTGCAACTGGACAACTGCAATACCACTCAAATCTTCAGTTATAGACTCAATCTGCTAAAAAACTCACCTCTTCTGGAAAGCAGAATTGTATTAATTACTTGCTTGGGTTCATAAACTAGCCTACATGGGAATCTATGCTTCATAGTTGGACTGTGTCTAATCCCAGAGCTCATCTGTTTAAAACTGGTATGGATGCCCAAATACTGCACAGTAGCACAGACAAATTCTTCGACTAAAGACAAAACCTTCAATAATCTCCAAACAATAAAATGATTTTCATTATACGATGACCTAACACAGTATTTACTTCTGGATGGAGAGGCATGCTGGGTTTCTACAGCAGACTAACCTTGGTTTTGCTAGTTGGGAGATTTCGCTTTTTGGAGATTTTTTCCCAGTTACTTTCTCACTGATGGACAGAGGAGTTTCTCTTTCTAAACACAATTTTAGCTCTTCCACAGACACATTTTCTCCTATATCAGTCTCAAAATACATACTTTATGATCTACTTTTTATTTTGTTTTAATCATAAGAATACAAACTGTTCAGATAAAATACATTGATTTGAAACAGCACAAAGTCTTTGTCCTGATTTAAAACCCTGACAGGCAAGGTCACCTTTCCTACCATATTAGAAAAGTAACAATTCATGTATTTCTCCTTCTCACACTGCTGAATTTATTTTTCCAGACAATGTGACAAATACTGTGCTCCACTACACATTTCAACATCATCTTAGCTCAAGAACAGAAACAGATCACCAGCAGAAGAATTTCACTAGCTTCTCCCTCTACCGCTTTGTTCTCGACATTTCTGAGTTTCCAAACACATGTTTTCCTTTCACTCTATTCCAGTTTTCCTCCAGTCACTGCCAGGGTATGTTATTCAGTGATTTCATAATCCTCAAAAAGAGGACATTTTCAAGAACACAGAATCAAACTATTCTATAATTCTCTTCCCTTTTTTTTTTTTTTTTTTGATGTAGTTAAAAAAAAAGATAAGAATTATAGGATAGAAAGTAAATGACTATGTCAAAGAAAAGCAGAGTTTATGGTTCCAGTAACTGAACGAGATGTCACATAGAAATATTTCATTTTTAGGAAACTGTATCTTCTTAGGCCATCTTTTGGAAATGACATTTATGGAACTGCTTAATTCTTTTTTTTCCCCCTTCTACCTTGAGCCATAAGATTAATGGAATTATTCATGCCAATAAAGATAAAGCATGGCATACACATTTGACAGTCAAGGACTTTATTATTAAAAATCATCTCTAAAGTTGTCATTTAAAGACAGGTAGTTGGGAGAACATGCTTACATTTCAGTAACTGTTTAACATTCTTTATTCATTAACATTCCTCAATTTATCATTTTCTAACATAAGAAATGTAAGAACTGCAGTATTCATTAACAGCTTTACTGTCTTTGAGCATCTCTGAATGAAAACTGGATTTTTAATACAGTTATTTCTCTGCATTATTATAATTGCATATCATATCAAATTGAACAACAATTTGCTGGATACTTTTAGACGTGTTCCACATCTAAAATGGAGATAAGACATAGAGGAAGTATAATCCACACCTAATAGATGGACTGCTTCATGATGTTAACATCCACAGAACTCTCACACAAATAAAATCTTAAGAGAAATCTCCTTTCCTGTTTTGTCAACTCCCAGTCAGTCTTTAAGTCTATAAGGAAGCCCACTTTATGAATGAAAACATCACTTCTTTCTCAGCATCTGCAGAAGCTACAGTTGCTACTGACCAGCTCATCAGTTCAACTTCTGCTTGCGATGCCAATTACTTTCAACTGTCCGAAAATCTATAGTCCGCAATAGACATGCTTCCCAAATTTTAAGTAAAAAAAGACTACAGTAAGGATAAATATTAGTATTTGTTTTCTAAGTTCAAAGAGAGTTGCTTAGGGGTTGCATTTTAGGACTGAGGGAGGAAAAATACCCTTAAAAATAATGCATCCATTTTTACCTGTCAGGCTTAGAATTCATACAGATTTCCAGAAAAAGTACATTCATCATACTAATCTACGCTTTAGCACAACATGGCCACATTGAGGGGTAACAACTGCAATTTAGGGGCAAACACATAAACAAAAGATACACAGTTCAGGTTTATACCATAAACAGCATTTATTGCTCACAGCCCACCAAACTGGCTAGGTGCCCAGTGCTGCATTGTGCCATTTAGTAGTTCTTGCCACCTTCCTTTTATTTGCTCTAAATTCACTACTACTTAATAATTAAGCAGACTCCAATTTTTATATTGTGGATCAGAGAGAAAAGGCCAGCAGTGACATAATTGCGGGAATAAATGGGTCGGTGCAGTATTCATTCTGGCAATGTTATTATCCTGAATATCTCCATTCAGGTCACAGATTAAAAACAGAACTTCCAGATAGAAAAAATACATTTTCCTTGATAAGAAAAAGAGCCAAGATCTAAAACAAAACATAACAGAGTACCTCCATGTCACTCCTAACAATTTGTGTGTAATGAAAGGGCATTCATCTTTAGAAAGACGCACTTTTATGCAATTCTAAAGCAAGATATAGGAAACATACAAGTGACAACCAGTTACACGCACCAACTCTATTCCACATCTGACACAAGACTCTGCTAAAAGCCAGGTCCACTGGATAGTCATTTGCAGTCATGCGAGCACCAAAATGAAGGAAGCTGTCTGGCTTATCCTTTCTTAATCCCATCTTTCCACCTTACCCAGAAGCAAGACTTTGCTCCTTTGAGAAAGTAAAATTACAGAGACCTACTTTGGAGCCTGTGTGGACAACTGCTTCTCTGCTCCAAGCCTTTACACAGTATTGGTCTGTCCCAACTGGCAAAAAAAAAAAAACCCAAAAAAAAACAAGGCAGCTATCAGAAATCAAGCTCTTAATTTTCTTCTGTTTTCCTAAAATCTAACCGAGGTGTCGTTTACATTAAGATTGCACCTAGTGATCCCAAGAGGATGCAAAGGAGTAGAATGCATGTACTTCGCTTAGTCAAGGAATATTCTAGTTGGAAAGTACCTTAAGTCTATCCAGAGAAACAACTGTTAGGAGGACCTATAAGCAAACTAGGTGAGTAGTACGTAAATGAGAAAAACTGACTCATTTGCTTTTATTACCAATAAAAATCACCTACAAAAATATAACCAAACATTGAGGGGATAACTAAAAATAGTAAAAAAAAAAAAAAATCTAAAAATATCTTAGTTTGTTCCCCTAAATAAAGAAAATATATATATATAAAATGAGACATTCAATTCAGTCTAGCTTGTTAAGGCAGCTTTTCCATATTAATACTTGTAATTCTCTCTACTCATGTTAGCAGTTGTCAAAACTTTTGCTGAGCAAACAGCTGCATCACCACAAAGTTTTAAACATCTCCCAAAACAATGCCAACCATGCCAGGAATCTTATTGCCTATTCTTTTCTGTGACAAAAAAATACACCAAACTTATAAGCAATTCAGAAATATTTGACCTTCCATAAAAAATGTCACTTTTTTGCTTGATACTTTCTGCAACTAGTTCCGTAAGATTTGACAGGTTTGGCAAGCATACTTCACATCAAAAATTGCCTACTGCCTAGCATCAACTCATCTTCCACAAAGTACTTAGAAAATACAGTATGAGATAAACAGTTTAGAAAATGGCCTAACATACCAAAAAAACCCCAACTATCCAAGAAGCCGTATAGCAAATTCAGGAAGCCTGAAATGCCAAACCAAAGGCTCTGCCACATACGTTAAACACACTAAGACTGGCTTTCTTAAAATGTAAGCATCCCACAGACCTATTTGAAGGAAAGTAACCAAAAAGACCACAGCACTGAATGCAGCCATTGTGAACAGAGCTGCTCATTCACTGAGTCCAACAATGACTGACACTATTATATATTATTCTTTCAACAGTCTCTACTTTAAGTAGTGACACATACAACACATTTCCAGGAAGGTCATATATAAATACAGATCAATAATGAAGCGAGATTTGACCAAGGGCAGTATTTTACAGGGGTTTCTGTCTGCTACTTGCCATATTCTTCAGGAGACTTCACAGACTGAAAAGAGAAGATGTAACCGTAGCTTGGTCTTTCTAGTACTTCTTATTACAACATCCATAAATGAATCAAATATATCCATCTGACGGCCTGGTTCTCATGTGACAAAATGAGAGAGTAGCAAATTCAGTTATCTAACATAATGGCCCCACAACAAACACTCACAGGGAGCCTGGAATCGCTGGGTTTACATCAGCACTACAATGCAACAGAGTTTAAAGAAAACCACATCTCACTGAATTTGTGTGAGTCAGACAGGTTTAAATCACAATTTTATCTCCAAATACTATCATCCAAAATCCAAATTCTCTGCAATTTGCAGCTACTAAATTTTGGCAATCCCAAACATACACAAGCCCAAAAGAAGTTGATGAACAAAAAACACATATTCAATTTAAATAGACCCACACCCCTCTCCTTCACCTTTGACAACTAGAGTCTGCCCTCTGAACTATGTCAAGAGTAGTAGGATGCCATTACTAGAAGGACAGATAATGTAGGAAGGAAGCAGTAAACCCTGACACACACACAGTCTCTACTACATAATATCTCCCACTGACCCCATCCTAAACTTCCGTATCACTTCCCACAAGCAATGATGAATCAAACCCTTATTTGCAGACATAAAGTTGGTTTATGTTTCTCTGACTTGTGCCTCCCAACTCTTCCTCTCTCTTCTCCCACAACTTGTATTCCTCACTAGTAAGAATCAACCCTAACTCAACCCAGCACTACTGTTACTGGATATTATGTCCCATGTAGGGGAGGAACCTTCATACATCAAACATCTGCAGATTTTGAGAGCCCTCTTTTGCTGCCAAGAATTACAAATTGTATACAGAAAAGCACTCAGCTATGAGACAACCAATATGATCCTAAGTTTTTATGCCAGACCTGATGTTAGTTAGGATTTCACTTGGAGATAAAATACCTTCAGGCACTGAAATATTAATGAAACAAGTAACAAAGGCACAGAGAGTAACCCTGAAGAACAGCATGAACTCTGAAGCTGGGGAAGAGAAAATTGCTGGATGACAAACCAAGGGATGGCCCAAACACCTCCAGGTGGGAATATCACGCAAACTATTCAGGTAATCAGACAACAAAACATACTGCAAATAGAAGTAGCTCGCATTACAAGACTACTCTAGCTTCAATTAGAGTAGCTGTAGAGTAGTTCAGCTACTTTAAGTGCTGCTTTTTGCTCAATTTAACAATGAGAGAATGGAAATTAGCAATATCATTCAAGTCATATCTTCACCCAATTACACAGACAAAAGGAGTCTGTTATCTCAGCCCGAAGTATTTGGGCAGCATGTCTCCAAGTTAAAAGCCAGGGAAATTATCTATGTAGGTGAACCCTAATGAGTCTGTTCCTCACAGGTAAATATGGTCCTATGCACAACAGTGAT